ACCACAGGGTATGACTATTGGAGGGAGTTGAAGTTGACTGGCATTTACTGTTTTGTCGCGTATGAGCTATCACATACCTATACGTTGGCACTAACTCTCCTGATGAAGCAAGAAGTGGGAATCCCAATGGGAAAGAGTACTAGCCCACCTCTTGCTTGCCAGTGCATCATGTGTGCAAAGACGGAATTTGACTTCCAGCAAAGCTTGGGTAAACAGCGGGTTTGGGTGCATGGGACCCGATTGATTGATGACGTGGGAATAATAATTGGGGGCAAGATTGGTGATGGCATGGAGAATAAGGCTATTTGTGCCTCTTTCGGAATTGCCTATCCTAGTAACCTCACACTGAAACGAACGGATGATGGATGCAATGTGTGGGAGTTTTTGGGTTGCGAAGTAGGGTTAAACTGTAAGTATCCCTTCATGGAGTGCGTACAGTTATAAGAAAGCGAGGCATATCTGAGATACTGAAATCTTGGACTTTATGAATGGACAGTCTTTCCTTTCTTGGGGAAGCAAGGCACAGAAAAGTGTCGTGATTTGCAGTTACCTACATTGCATCCATAGGAACACGACAATCTGATCTGAGATTCCACGCCGAGTGGTAACCTTGAAGAAGAATTACGACTGAAGAACTTTCCGAGGAATTTCTTTGACCGAATCCTGAAGAGTTATGTTCATGGGCGCGGGGAACCATGGCAGTGGACCGTTGCTTTGGTCACAGCAGCCCATGCTGCATATCCGGCACGCTGGCCTGGACACACTGACAGGGTTTTTTAGCAGTGTTGTAGTTGTGTTGGTTTGTTTTTTTCCTTATCTGAGGCGATTGTTAGTTTTAGAGGATGGATGATGTAGGGTAGGAGTTTCGAACCGATGTCTGTGCTGACTATGATCACGGACCGATTGTCAGTTTTTTTTTTTGCTTTTGATTTCTTGTCCCTGGCCGGGGGCACCAGTTTTGAGTGTTGTGGCTTGGGCCGATTTGGGTCCTTGGGTACTGTGGTCCCTACCTGGTTCGCCAAATTTGAGGGCCCAGGTGAGGTGGCGTCTTTTGTAGAGAACATGACCAGTTGCATAAATAGAATGATTGCGTAACATTCAATCTCTTTCTTTCGCTAGTTGGCTCCGGCCAATAGCGTCAGATGGGTTAGTTGGACGCGAGGGTGGATCTTGGGTCATTGGCAGGGTTGGCAGTTTATGCGCTTAATGATTTTCAATCATTTCTTGATTTACTTGCGTCGTTTTCTCGTCTCAAGTTTTGCTTGTCTTGTGTACTACTTCACAAGTTGGTCATGTACGGGTTTGTCAAACGTATCTTTGCTGTATTATCTGTTCATAATTCTACATTTAAAGGCATGTACCTCACAACATAGAGAACTGACAGAAAAACATTCAGAAAAAAATACATATTTTTAGGCACCGAAATAATTTTTGGTTGGGCTGAACGCCTTCGGGTTCGAACCTCAAAGGAGATCTTAAGCCCCCGTACGTATGAGGGTCGGACATGTTTGTATACATGTACACATACAGGGTGGCTTGCGTTTGGACGGGTCGAATGCCCAAATGCCTTAACGCCTGAACGTACAGGACCCCTTGGGGATGCGTTCAGTCTTTCAAGCCGAAGAGAGAMAAAAAAAAAAAAAAAAAAAAAAAAAACCTCTRAAAAAWMWRAAAAAAAAAWRWWAWRMARAAAWAWAWAAWAAAMAAMAWTCGTCCGAGCATTAAATMCAAACTCCTTAACAAAWWMAAAAWAAAAMWAAAMAMWAAWAAAAAAAATAAAAAACAATAAAAAGAGAAATCGGAGAACGAAAATTAGTGAGTGTGCAAGTCTGTTGTCCATACCACCATCTTTGGCAATTTTTCATTTATTTTTTACGTATCCAAATACCGCGAAAATTAACATAATAAAAAGCTCATGAAAAAAGTTTCAAAAATAAATATTTTTTTTTATATCCCGAAATAAAATGAAAACTGAAAGTAAAAAAGCGGAAAAAAAAATTATGAATGAGCGCGCATATTTTGACACCTCAATCTTTAGAGATTTTTTATTTTTTTTTAGCAGAGCAAAATTAATTCAAAATGTTTAGACATGTACCTAACATCATAGAGAATAGAAGAAAAAAAAATCAAGAAACAAAAGTTATTTGCAGACCCTGAAATATTTTTTGGCGGGGGCCGAACCCGTTCAGGTTTGGACCCCGAACAAGACCCCGAATGCCAGAATGTACAGAGGTCCGCCTCGGGCCCTTTGTACGGACGAGCTGGTGACCCTGCTTGTATATATATTTTTTATAATATTACATGTAGTACTTTTTTATTAACAATTGTATTATATTTCGAGTTACTTCCCAGGCCGCCCGAGCCACCTTATTTAACAGGGCGGTCGCCGGTGCAAGGACAATAGAAGGGTCCAACAAACGAAAAATAATATACTAATAATAATACTAATCAGATTTGCGAGGCCGAACGTACGGAGGCCCCTAAGCTGACCCCCGAACGTTCGGGCGTTCGGGTCCCCATACGGGGCCCGAACTCGAAGGGGTTCGGACCCCGCAAACAAATATTTTGGTACCTAATTTTTTTTTTTTTTTTTTTTTTAATTTTTTTGTGAGTTCTTTGTTATGTAAGTTATCTGCCTCGCAATTTTGAAATCATTCAGTCAAGCCAAACAATAATGAAAAATCGACAAAGATGGTGGTGTCAAAACTTGCTTTCCCACTTACTAATTTGTTTTTTTTTCTCTTTTCACTTTTTGTTTTCCCTTTATTTCGGGGCCTGAAAAAAATTATTATTTTTCCAAACTTTATTTGTAGGTTCTCTATTATGTAAGATACATATGTACAAATTTCATGGCATTCGACAAAGCCAAAAAAAAATAAAAAATTGCCAAATATAGCAGTGTAAAAAACTTGCTCGCCCACGCAATAATTTCATTATCGTTTTATTTTTTATTATTTTCATTAATAATATTTATTTTTTGTATTTGATTTTTATTTCAAATCTGGTAAGGAATTTGGATGTACTGTTGAGGAAAATATTGTTTAGTTTATTCTTTTGCATGATAATTGTTTTTTTCAGAATTTTTGGAAACTTTTTTTTTTTTTTTTTTTTTTTTTTTGGTTCCGCGTCCGGCCGAACGTCCGAACGCGTCGAGAGGGGGTCCCAAACGTTCGGGCGTTCGGGTTCGGGTCGTCGGCCCGTCCCGAAAGCCGGCAACCCTGCTACTAATAATAATAAATTATGGTGAAAAAAAAAAATTGAACAAATTACTAACGGGTCTAGTTCAATTGGTGCACCCTCAAACAGTTGAAACAAAAAGATGTGTTTGAATTTTGATATAACTGGATCAACGAAGTTTATGAATTATCAGGGGTCAAATAGTTTCATGATCAGGGTTACCGGCGTTCGGGATGGGCCGAACGCCTGAACCTGAACGCCCGAACCTACGGGACCCCTTCGGAAGGCGTTCGGCTGTTCAGGCCGAACGCGGATAAAAACAAAATAAATCAGAAACTTCCAAAAACAAAATGTGTTATAAAGAAAAATAAACTAAACAACATTTGTCTGGGCACTACATCCAAATTCTTTACCAAATTTGAATTAAAAATCAAATACAGAAAATAAACACTATGATAAAAATAAGAAAAAATAAGAAGAGAATTAAAATGAGTGAGTGTGCCAGCACCTTTTCGACACCGCCATCTTTGCCGATTTGTAATTTTTTTTGGCGTTGACAAATGTCCTGAAAATTTACAGATATGTATTTTACATAATCAATAACTTATTAAAATTTTTTCAAAAAATAATAATTTTTTTTAGGCCCCGAAATAAAGTGAAAACAAAAAGTTAAAAGTGAAAAAAAACAAAATAGTGAGTGGGCGATCACGTTTTGACACCCCCATTTTTTACGATTTTTAATGTTTTTTTGGTTTAGCAGAATGACTTCAAAATTTATAGGCGTGTAGATTACATCATAGAGAACTCACAAAAAACAATTCAGAAATAAAAACTTATTTTTAGGCCCCGAATTGTTTTTTGGCGGGGACCAAACCTGGAGGTGTTCGGCCCCCGAACGGGACCCCGAACGCCCGAACGTTCGGGGGCCAGCCCGGGGACCCCTTAACGTTCGGTCAGGTAACCCAGTTCTTGATGATATTTTAAGGCTTCCACCCTAAGAAAAAGAAAAAACCTTTTGTTTTAGGGTTACATCCCAGGCTACCAGGCGAGCCACCCCGGTAGTTGGGCCTATTAATGACTTTTCGATTACTTAGTTATAGTTGAGCCTAGTTATGACTATTCAGCTATAGGTCGTACAGTACCGGGTTTGTCCTTACCGGTCGAGTTATGTCTCAGGAGATAGTGTGTAGGATTAGTATATATGACTCACGTTCGTAGTCTTTTTCATCTGAAGCCATGATAGATGACCCCTGACGAAGACCGACTAGCGATCGGTCGAAACGCGGGGTCAGGTCGTGCCGCCGCGCATCGAAGTGTTTCGCATTCTTTTTATACGAACGATGCGCACCTGCGCTCGGATTTTTCTTTCATGTCTCGTCTTCGTCTTTTCTCACTCCGTCTGTCATGCTTTCACATCTGCTTGCATGTGTGAATGTCAACTTGTAAACACTTTACGTGCTTCGCTTCACGCAATAACCGTCGTAGCAGGATACTACGTTCGAGTGGTTGTGTATACCAGGGTCGTGTCGTCGTCCGTGTCGACATACTCTGATTCGTCGTCACTTTGTTTTCAATTCTTCAAGTTTTTTCAATTTTTTTGCGTTTCGCACTGTTGTCTTATCTCCTGTCTATTTCTTCAATCAGTCACTATGAGCTACGGAGGACCCCGGGTTTGCCATCATTGCAAGCAACCCGGGCATTTCGTTAGGGACTGTCAGTTACGACAGATCCCGAATGTCGCCGCCTTGTTGGGCGGCAACGGAGGTGAGGCAAATCACGGAGCGGCACTGTAGGATAATGACGGATTATTGCCAGCGCCGAACGCGATAGTCCCGTACAGAGCACCCGCGCCGAATGAAGGTCAACAAGAAGGAAGCGGATCCGGGTCTAATCAAGGGTACGGGAACTACAACAATCGAGGTTATGGAAGGAGCTACAATCAAGGGTACAATCGTTCCGGATACCAGCAGCGACCGAGGAATAACTGGTGGGTTGATAATCGAGAGCGGGAGAAGGAAGATAAATTCGAGAGGGTATGAGGATGGTATTCGGAAGAGATGCAAGCTAAGGAAAAGGAGAAACGGGCAAAGGAGTAGCAACCGAAGGAAGAGGAGGAGAAGAAGAGAGCGTTGCAAGCAGAGGAGGAACTCGAGAAAAAGAAGAGGGAACAAGAAGACTTCGAGAAATCCATCGGGAGATTGGTTAAGGATAATATGAAAGAAGTGTGCGAGCAGATGATGGGGAAGAAAGCCAGCTGTAGCCAGGAGACGATTGCGGCTGTCTGCGCTGTAGCTCGATGCACGGAGCAAGAGAGCCGTTGGCATAGAGAGGATGTTGCGGCAAGGGAGCAACTAGAGAAGCAAAGGTGCAACGAGGTTGACCGCCTGAGACGGGAGAATGAAGAACTCACTAGAGTGGCCTCAGGAAGGGCCAACAGAGAACTGGAATCCCTCAAGGCCGACAATCAGACACTTCTACAGGACGTACTTCAGTTGAAGGAAGAAATGGAACAGTGGAAAAGAGGCAGCAAGCGGACTCGGAGCTCGGCAGCAGTTACAGAGAAGAGTCCTCCCGCGGAGCCCGCACGAGGGAAGACGAAGGCCAGCACGGATGGACAAACTCCAGCCGAATGGGCCAAGCTTGCTGATGCGTACCAGCGAGTACGGGACGAAAAGGATATGGTCGAACGTGAGGTTTCGGCCCTCAAGGAGCGAATCAACCGCATCAAGATTTCGTCCCCGTCAAGTTCCAGGAAGAAGGTGTTCGTCAGAAGGAAGAGCCACAAAGGTGGCGTCAGCAGCCCTGTTCGGAAAGAAGGCGACCAAGTCAAAGTCACTTTCGTTAGAAAAGTTGGCGAGGAGAGAGATAACTTCCAAAAGAGGGTCAACAATGACCTTGGGAAGTTGAGGAAAGCTCAGTTGGAAGGGTTGTGTAAGGATGAAGGGATTGAGTATGGTGGCGTTAAGAAGACGGCTGAAGATCTCGCCGACATCTACACAACCAGAGCTTACGAGCAACCGATGAGGAGAAGGCTGATCGAGGATAATAACGAGGAGGAACCCGAAGAAGAAGATCAAGAAGAAGGTGAGTCCGCCGATATGGCGGGGGCCCCCACTGAGGCATCCGCTGAGGCAACGACGTCTGAAGAATCACCGTAGAGCCGGTTCCGAGCGTCGGTGATATTTATTCCTCTTTGTCTATGATTCGAAGTCTACGGAGAAGATGTGATGATAGGCAGGATCGGTTCCGTCTTAATCGACTTTTTCGATACTTCGTCATCTCTCTGATTCTCTCGTCTGCCCTGTGTTGGGGAAACAAATTCGCTCCATTCATATCTGCTCTTGTACGTACTCGGTATGACTTCAACACTTGCCCCGGTCCTGTAGTGTACGTCCTCATCTCCCCATGGCCAAAGCATACCTATGTGGGCTGTAGTTCACGTTCACTTGATGTCCGATGGAAAGAGCACGTGCAGTGGTCGCAGCATGTAGGAAGAACAGGGGAGGTAAGAAACCATAGATTGTATCGATGGTTGAGGAAGAATGAAATCGATAATTATATTGCGGTACCTATCGCTAATCCTGTTGCTGCGGACCTGCTTAGTGTCGAAGGGTATTTCATTCGTAATTTTTCTCATTTTCTTAATAATCCCGGTCAAACAAGGTCGAATGCGAACCGTAGGAATAGATTAGGGCGTAGGAAACGCAGGAGGAAACAGAATAACCGGGCGAACAGTAATAAGCAGTTGACTTCGTTGTTGAACTTTCAATCATCGTTTGGTACGACTTCTGTGTCGCTTGATAAAGTTCTGGAGGATGCTTTCGAGAAAAAGTTGACGTCATTTTCTGTGGACTGTAGCGGGGGTATTCGGCTATGTGATGGATAGAAAGTCTTGAAGCGGAAGTTCGGATCCACGACGGTACGGTCATCGCTAGGAACGTGCTTGCTCAAATGTGCGAGGGCGTGGCTGGTCCCGGGTAATAGGTTGCAATTCGACAATCTATCACGTTTCTGTTCACGTTTTTTGGAAAGAAGCGGGATCTGATACCGTTATTTTCGCACTCAGGCGCACGGCAGAGATTGTATAAACAAGGGTTTGATTCTTTGTTGAGATCATATGCTACTGTTAGATCCTTTTCTAAGAAAGAGAATAGAAGTACATTAAGAGGGGTTATTGCAAAAGTTCTTCGTATTAAGTATAAGTTTAATATTAGGATTAAACCGGTGATTCATGTTCCGTTCGATGCGAGTTTATTAAGAACGAGGTTAAGGAAGTTGTGCATTCGTGTGGTTCGCAAGTCAGCCATCAGGAAACCGTTACAAGACATTATTAGTAGGAGACTGAAGATTGTATGTCCTAAAAATAAATCAGTTCCGGACTACATTCATAATTTCCGAAAGCAAGCCAGAAATGATAACCTGCTTTGTACATGTCGTGATTCTTCCCGGTCTGTTTCGATACCTGCATCTCCTTCGTCTTGTTTTGCACGAAATGTTGAGGGTCATATTGTTTGCCGCCTTTCTAATTTGGACATTCATCCTATTCTTAAGAACTCCCGGAACTTTCCCTACCCCAATCTTCGTTCAGACATCCGTATCCTCTCACAATCCATCTGTCAATCTCTGAGTACGGTCCAGAACGATACCACTCGTTTCGATGTATCTATCGAGGATTTAAGTGCATGTTTTAATAGGACGGCCAAACAAAGCAGGGTATCTGTGCCCGACCTCGAGGCTGTCGGGGAATTCAAGAATAGACTCCAGGGGCTGGTGGTTTGTGTCGTGGATTACAATTCGGGGGACACCTTTATCTGTTGCCCCGAGGTGTATCGCCAAGGGCTGAGTACGTTGTTCCTAGGGAATGAAGGCTTTCTGTGGGTTAATAAAGGAGAGAGGTTGGTGGTCGATAGTATTAAGATAGAGTATTTCAAGCGTAAGTTTCAGACAATTGCAGTATGGGATTATAAGTGTCAATTGGGAAAAGCCTACGCCATGCCAAAGCACAAAGATGTGCAAAGATGGAGACCCATCTGCCCTTCTAGAACAGATCCCTTATCCCGCCTGAGCAAGCTAATCCCCAAGGCTATTAACCGACTATTATGGTCTCTACCAGTAGATAGTAACTTCAACTTAAAATCCACCGGTGATCTACTCTGTCGTCTGTCAAGCTGCAACCTTTCTACTGGTCCTTATGAGGAAGTAGTTGCCGCAAGTTTCGACGTAAAAGAAATATTTTCGAATCTTCTGCATGCATCGATCATCAACGCAGTCGAATGGCTTGTGTCCTAGTTTGAAGAGAGAAGTTTTTATCGTATTATGGTGAAACGGTGAGGGAAAGTAGCCAGGCTGATGAAAGCTAGAAAAGTTCCTGAAGGATGGTGCGCCCTGAAGTTTTCTAAATTGATTAGCGTTATCATCTTTGACCTGGCTAATACGTATACAATGTACATAGGCTTGGTTCTACAGCAGGTAGTGGGTATACCAATAGGCAAACCTGCCAGTCCGGCGCTAGCGTGCCTGTTATGTATGCTCAATGAATTCTGCTTTCTTAAGACTCTGGGCTCACAACATAAGTTAGTTATGGGTGTAAGAATGATTGATGGCGTGTCCTTCTTCGTCAAATATGATAAGAATTCTGCCATATCTAAATGCCATGTTGAGGAACAGATCAACAGATTCAGTAAATGTTATGATAAAAAACTGACTTTGGAAAGAACCAGTACGGGTGACGTATGGGACTACCTTGGCTCTGGGATCAAAGTCTTTCACGACCCTGCTCGGATACTGTGTGTTGCTACTCACAAGAATGAAAGACATGTGTTGAACGAAGGAGTGTATTTCATAGTATACAGGATTTCGGATCATATTCATCCAAGCAGCAAAAGATGGCGGTTATCACGGCCTTCCTGCACAGAGCCAAGAGTATGAACATCATGCCGGGAGCCGAAGGCTGTTTTCTGTTAACTTTGAAAATTGAGCTGAGAATGAGGAACTTTTCGGATACATATTTTGACAACGCACTCAAGAATTTTTCTGTCAGGTTCAATGGGTTATGGGATCATTGGATAAGGTGTCTCACGGATTGGAAAAGGAGTTAGTAGAGGCAGTCAAAGCCCGGTAGTTGGGCCTATTAATGACTTTTCGATTACTTAGTAATAGTTGAGCCTAGTTGTGACTATTCAGCTATAGGTCGTACAGTACCGGGTTTGTCGTTACCGGTCCAGTTATGTCTCAGGAGATAGTGTGTAGGATTAATATGACTCACGTTCGTAGTCTTTTTCATCTGAAGCCAGGATAAATGACCCTTGATGAAAATCGGCTGGCGACCGGTCGAAACGCGGCGTCGGGTCGCGCCGCCGCGCATTGAAGTGTTTCGCATTCTTTTCATACGAACGATGCGCATCTGCGCTCGGATTTTTCTTTCATATCTCGTTTTCGTTTTTTCTCACTTCGTCTGTCATGCTTTCACATCTGCTTGCATGTGTGAATGTCAACTTGTGAACACTTTATGTGCGCCCCGGTCACCCTATTTTCCCGAACGGCCCGACAGTGTAAGCACAACGGAAGGTCTCATTCAAAAAAAAAAAAAAAATCCAAAAAAAAACTATAGTATGCAAAAAAATGAATTGAACAACTTTTGCCTCAGGATTACATCGAAATTATTTACTAATTTAAAAGAAAATTCTAAATTACAAATTAATTTTATTTATTATTATTTTTTATATTTTTTTTTGGTCCGGTCGGGCAAGTGGACCCTGACTACTATGGTAGTATGGGTTACATCGAAATTATTTATCTAATTTAAGATATTTTTATTTATTTTACCTAATCGGGCAAGGTGCCTCGGGACACTTTGGTACTGCAGAACTCGAAGATGATTATAAAAAAATATTTACAAATATCAATTACTGTAGAGAATCTGTAATAAGAAGAATAACAAGTTTTGATGTCATGCAATATAGGGGATTAAATATTACTATTATATGTATAAGAATGACAACATTATTGGGTTCTTTTACATTAATAGAGGAATAACTTTGCCTTATGCTAGTGTAGTGATCCATCAATCAACTATTTAATATTGAATTGATAAACTGTTGAATGTCTAATGAAAGTTGAAAAAGTATTAAAAACGAAAGATTGCATAATAAAGTCTATATGAATAAGACATGTAAATCATAATATGTTATATATCGTGATATGGTTCGGGATATGTTTATGTCAATATTATAAGTTAAATCTTATGGAATAGTAACCCACGTCGATTAGAAACTCATGCATACGAGAAACGTGCGACCACTAAAACACCCAACCCGCTAGAAACCTGTATAGGCTTCTACCTACCAGAAATCAGCGCTCAAGACGTATTTAGTGAAGATTCATTGACCACTTCATTGCCATGGTTCCATTGGCCTTCTTTATAAAACTTTGAATACTCAAATGAAAAATGAGAGATTGAAAATAAGTAATATAACTAAGTAATGATCAAACATAACACAAAATTTTAGCTTTTTTTAATTATTTGTAAATTAAGAGTGATAATATATAAATCATAATGTTACCGCATAATTTTAGATATTAAGTTCTTATCTCTATATTTAATGATAGTTGAATTTATAATTTTTATAAATTTTAATATTATATAAAGTTGGGTTGTCAAACCGAACGTACGGAGGTCCCTAAGCTAACCCCCGAACGTTCCGGCGTTCGGGTTCCCGTACGAGGATCGAACCTTAAGGGTTTGGACCCCGTAAAAAAATATTTTGACACCTAAATATTCTTATTTTTTTTTTAATTTGTTTTCGAAAGTTCTCTGTGATGTAAGATATCTCCCTCTTAATTTTGAAGTCATTCTGTTCAACAAAACAACAATGAAAAGTTGGCAAAAATTGTCGAATCAAAACTTGTTTGCCCACTCATTAATTCTTTTTTTTTTTTTTTTTCAATTTTTTTTTCCTTTATTTCGGACATTAAAAAAATTATTATTTTTTCAAACTTTATTTGTAGAGTCTCTATTATTTGAGATACACATATATAAATTTTCATGTCATTTGTCATAACAAAAAAAAGGAAAAATTGCCAAAGATGGCAGTGTTAAAAATGTGCTCGTCCACTCAATAATTTCATTCTCGTTTTATTTTTTCTAATTTTTTCATTATTATCTAGGCTTCCAAACTGGTCCGGGGTCACTTGCCCGGCCGGACAAAAAATACTAAAATTAAAAAAATATTTTTTTTAATTTTATTTTTTATTTTAAATTTGGTGAAAATTTTCGATGTGACCCTGAGGCAAAAGTTGTTTAGTCTATGTTTCTTCATAGCATAGTTTTTTTT